AAGAACTTTGTAGGACGGAAGAAAAATCTGAAGAGATAAATAATTTAGAAGAACCGGTTACTAGCTATTCTGATGATGTAGATGCTGAAGATATAGACTATGATTTTTTGACAGAATTAATGCGCGAGATTATGAAAAAATAGAAAACAGGCAGGTCTCTGATATAAATTTATGCATAAAAAAATTTACTCAATACACTCAATCAAATGTGATTATAAATCAATCAAAAAGGAAATGGTACAATTAACACTAATAAAAAAAAAGGCACCAAGGAGTGGATACCAGTAAAAAAGTGTTTAAATTCTTTTAAGTTTTTTTAATTAACTTCCCGTAGGGGTAGTTATAGTAATGGGCAGAAAATCAAAAATGATAATTTTTGCATATCTTACCTTCGTATTGAAGGTTTCTGAACATTTTGTGTTTGTTGTTTTCGTCCACGTTTTCGGGCGCACGGAATTGAATTATTCAAACAACATTCAGTTCGTATTGACGGGGAGACGTGCTGATAAGTATTTGGCAAAAGTTGGCTGAGCATTTTGGAGGTACTGTGTTTTTGGAACCATTCAAATCGGTTAATAATTGCGCCCGAAAACGTAGACGAAAATTGCGGACACACAAAACGCACACGCACGCATATCCATTTTTTCTGAGGTATGCCAAAATTTTCAGAATCCTTTAAAACGTGAAGATATGCAAACATTTTCAATTTCGATTTTAGGACGATTACAATAATTTACCATACGGGAAGTTAACGATAAAAATAACATAATTTATTAAACTATCAGTTTTAAAATAAGGCAATAATAAACAATTGAAAGTTTTACATATCCACTTCAATCTTCTTATTTTTTTTAATATAATAATTTTAATACAAAGAATTTTTGAATTGTTTTGTGAATAGTGGCATACAATTTGATGACAATCAAAAAATATTTTTTCACAAGGCAGCAATTAATACTTATTAGGTAAATCTTATAAAATAAAGTGTTGGAAATTCACTTTCATAATTTCTTACTGTTGAAAATCAGTTGACTCGTGAATAGCTGTAAATTAACTAATATTTAAATACTACTATAATGAGAGGCATAACTAACCAATCTATATACATTATTGCTATGGCTGTTTACTACCATTACGAACAACTGCTAGAGTAGAGACCCTTAAAGAATCTTTCAACTGTTACCCCTGAAGGTCTATGTTCGACGACTTGCTCTTTTAAAAGAGTAAGAATCCCCTGAATCGGGGATGGGACTATTTATACAGGTGTGCGGTTGCTTACCAACACATTTGTAAAAATATCTCTAGCTAGACGCTGTTAGATAAAATATTTTTTTATCTTGATGCATAACATTAAGATAAAAATCATTTTTTCTTAATATCGTTTATATAACAATCACGTTAACTATATATATGGATAATTATCACCATTCATTTATCTATGGTTATCACAATCAGATAAAAAGCACGATATTTATCGTTATCTACGATTAAAATTGCATGCGGTACTACTCACCTAATTTGCGATTTTTATAAAATATGCACTCATTTATGGAAACTATTACAGTGGATTGTAATCATTGCTGTATCAGGCATTATACTATCAAATATGTAGTATGCTCTGAGGTACTGATCTTTGGATCACGAAAATTCATCAAAATCGTCATTATTTTCAGCTTTTTTTTTACTTTAATTACGTAGAAACGATCTGGCCAATATTTACCAAAAACTATCTTCTTACCTATTCTTAACCGATCTATTTAGAACAGTTTTTGAATTATTAAAATCGGTTCAGGATTTTAGGATAAACTTGAACGAAAATTTTAGTATCTTCAGATGAACCTACGGCGACATATTTTTAATAATTCATTCTTTTTCAAGAAAACGTTTGCAAAAGGTAAAATTTTGCTTCACGTACACACGCACATACTTCTTCCGAATTTCGCCTCAAACGATTTATAATAAACTTAAAACATAATATTAGATACCGATTCTGATTTTAAATTGTTTAATTGTTTGTAAGAAATTTGGAAAAATTATTGATTAAGTAATAAATTTGGGCAATGTTATTCCTTATTGTTTGAGAAAAAAAATCTCTTTGTGAGGGTCACCAAACAAATTTTCGGAGCCGGTTGTATAACGAAAAATATCTATATTGATAAGTAACCAATGATTCAGTTTACTGCCGTAAATTCCCTGAAGAATCACAGTGCGATTTGGTATTTCAGAAGTTTGAAAAACTCACTTGAAATATTTTTTTCTTTCTACGTTAAGTTATTACCATAGATAGAAAGAAGATATCTTCTAAATTCAAACTAAAAATCTAAATTTCGAAATTTTTATCTTTCAGTATGGTAATTAACCAGAGAAAGTTATATAGTAATCGCAAAAAAATCGGAAATAATTTTTTGCATATCTTTAATTTTCAGCAGTTCTGAACATTTTGGCATACTTGCCAGAAATGAATGCCTGTATGTGTATGTATATAAGTGCAAATACAATTTTCCGCCGATTGTTAAATTGTTTTTTTTTTTGCAAAGGCAAGTTCAGTCGTTTCAAAGATACGAGGCAAAAAGTACCAAAAATCGCAAATCAATTTTTGAGAGAACGGAGCGTTCAATTTGAATGATTTAAAAACATTTTATTCGTATATACGAAATGAAGAACCGATGAGGGTAGATCCAATTAAAAAGTACAAAAAAATGCCATTTGGCGGTCAAAAATCATAATTAGATATATGAACTTGAAATTATCAGATATTTCATCGAGATTTTGATAAGGGTACGCAGTGCAATTGCTTTGAAAAAATGTTCAAAATTTTGAAATATTAAAACAAGATCAAATTTTTCATAAATGTCAAATTTTTTCAAAAAAATTCAAAATTCTCAAAACGTTATTTTTCTCAAACTTTTCTCAATATTAATTTTCTTTAATATTTTCTCAAAACATAAAGCTTTTTAAAAAAATTAATTTTCGGAACGAGAAGCTCCAATAATTTGCTTAAGGCACCATGCCCCATACACCACAAGTTGACTTTTTGATTTGGTTTAAGTCGACAAAACATAATTGCTAATAAAATGTTTAAATAAATTTAAAAAAATATCAACACCAAGCACTAACCTTTTATCTAGCACAAATTTCAAACGCACATGTACTGTTTTTTATTGCTTGGAGGGATTTTATTTATATAGGTACCAAATGATATGGATTTGGTATCTAATGATAATAGTTATCATCTACTTATATCAATATGGATTTTGAAAATCAAAACGAGAAATATAGGTATTTTCCCTTCTTACTTGTTCGGATATATAGGTATTTTTCTCTCTTACTTGTTCGGATAATCAATATATATATTGAATGATTGAACACTTAAATTATTTATTTTAAAACAAATAAAGATTACATAAAACTAGAGATGTCACCATATAAATAAATTTACGTACGCGCACATACAGTATACTAATTATTGAATTTTAAAAAGGGGATTTCCGCGTAATATACTTATGCGCGTATATTAATGTGGGAATCCCGTAATAGCAGACGCGCGTAAATGCTGTCAATTTGAAAATTATCCAGAAAACTGTTCTTTGAAATTTGCAATTTTTAACTTCCCGAAGGAGAAGTTTGTTTTTATCAAAAAATCCGATTGGCTAATTTTGTGTTCTCTCGACGTTTCAAGCCATTCTGAATCGAATGATACCTTTGGAAGAAGTATGTATGAATCGATGTTTTCTCAAAAACGGCTAGACCGATTTCAGAAATTTAAAAGCCATTTGATGTATCTCAATGAGGACCCTATGAGGACTATCGTTTGTCAGTTTTGTGCGACGATCTGCCAAGCCGTTTCTTTGTAATTTGGCAAAAAGTGCTGAACTTTTCGTCCACATTTAAGCTCATACTACCGAATCGTTTTAAAAAATCAAAAACTGTTCGAAAGATATTATTATTAGTTGGGAATGATACTGATTAGTGATGTAACGAATGTTGGATTTTTCACATTCGCGAATGCGAATGCGAATGCGAGTATTCATCTTCAATATTCGCGAATGCGAATGCGAATGCGAATGTTAAATTTCAAATAAAGCGCGCGCAAAATGTTTGACATTTCAAATGTAAAAAGATAGCAACACATTTTTACCACTCTAATGTAGCTCAAGATCAACTTGCTAATCTACAAGAAACATGGTACAAATCGAAATTTTCCGAAAATCCTTCAACCAAAGATCAGGTCGTGAAAAATATTTTGGATTTAATTGGAAATGAGGACTTAAGCTTTCCTTCATGTTCAAATTCAAAGCGTCCTAAAATGACTAATCAGGTTAAGGAAAACTTTGTGCCATTCTTTCAGTCTTTCAAAATCTGTATCACTAAAAGAACTTCAATTTAATTACTAAGAATTTAAAGTTACAGCGAGTTTATTTTAATAGTCAACTGTGTCAACTTGTTATTAGCAAAACTATAATTGTGTAGTTTATATTTCATTATTTTTAATTCATAGGAAAAGAAAATTAGTGAAAAAATGTGCAATTGAAACCAAATGTTAACATTATGAATATTAGAACTTTACTTTTGTTTGCAATAGAAATAAATATTTTTTTTTTTTTTTTGGCAAAAAGCTTATTTACAAATAGTCAAGTATTCATTATATGGTTTTTTAGGTTTATATTTCATTATCATATTTAATTCTTAGAAAATATATAGTGGAATAGAAAATAAATAAGTGAAAATTAAATAAAAATATATAAATCTTATCAGTTGTGTTATCATTTCATATGCAACTATATAATAATTTCCTTTTTGTTTGTTAAATACATTCGCTAAATATTCGCATCGGTTTTTGCGAATAGGAATGCGAATGCGAATATCGAAAAATATGCGAATATTCGCGAATGCGAATGCGAATGCGAACATTCGTTACATCACTAATACTGATTAGTTTTAGGTGAAATCTACCGAGCCGTTATCTTGTAATTACTTAACTGTTGAAAACAAAATTTAAGCCGATTTTTATGGAACTTTGTTTGGCGATATATATCATAGAACTTACTGAAACATTGCGGCCTTACGGTAAGTAGTTTAATTTTAAAAATTAAAATTAGACTATTTACTTGGTATAACGATCGTTATACCAAGTAAATAGTCTAATTTTAAATTACAAATTACAAATCGCGATACAATACTTGGTCTTAATGAACATACTAAACCATTGAAGTCCTACGGAAACTGGTTTAATTATAAAAATTGTTGAATTTTGAAAATTATATGAAATTAATCCATTCGGAATACTTTTAATCACTCATAAATTACTTGCCTCAAGGCAAAATACTAATACCAACTAGTTTTATTTACATTGCTGTTTCCATATTATTACTTCCAATTAAGTGATTGAGCACAAATTGTCAATAAAAACAAAACTTTGTTGAAAATTTTTAAATGTATGGTATGGTTTGTTTGCACTTTTTCCAAATCCAAATTTTCCAATCACATTGTTGAATGAAAATTATGCAAAAAATAAAACTTTTGTTAGAATTTAGCATATTTTTTATTTGATTGTATAATTATGTTTAAAAACGAAAATTTCCTAATTATGTCGTTGAGTGGAAAAAACAACATATATATATGTTGCAAATTTTTGTCTGCATAAACCATGTTTAAATTCGAGCATTTCCCAATTATATGGGAATTAAACAAACTGACTTTTCTTGCTGTTTGTCTAAATTGGTTTGTACAAATGCTGCCAGTACAAATGATACAAAATCATTATTAAACCAATTTAGACAAACAGCAAGAAAAGTCATTATGTTTAATTCCCATGTAATTGGAAAATTAATTAAATATAAATCCATATACTTGAGTGTTCTATACGCTCTACGACATCATTGTTTTCAAAATCACAGCAAAAGTAAAAGTGATGTGATATGTAAATATTTGCTTCAATAGAATTCAATTGTGATAATTACACTGTTATTCGATAAAAGTCTGTAATATAATAATATAATATAATAACTACAAATAAACATTTCTCAATTTAAGTATTTGCAAATTTGATCTTTATTTATAAAAATGAATAATTCTAATTAAAATATATATTTAACAACTATTTATAATATCATAAAATTATTAATAATATTCAGTCAATTCTTCCATATGAAATATTTCATGTTAACATCATACGCATTTCTGTAGTAATAAAATTAGTAACAACCCTTAATAACTGCTGTTTAACAACATCATTGTTCATAATGAAAGGTAAAAGGACAGCAGCGTCTTGGATGTCCACATCTTGGACAGCTCTTCGAAGACGTGTTATTAACAATTCTTGCTGCTGTGTTGTTAAATCATTCATAAGAACCTCAGCCACTGATTTAAACTGACCTGAAAAAAAAAAATCTCATGGTGAAATACATGCAAAACATAAAATAAAATTTGCGATAATAAATAATCGGGAGTAACATAGAAAAACATGAACAGTTTTAAAAATTAATTCAGTGGACCAAATTAAAATTAAATTAGTGGTGTATGGCATCGTGCCTTGAGGCAATTTGCGGGAACTTCCCTTACCAAATTAAATATTTGAAAATCCGAATTATTTTCGATATTCAAAAAAATGTTTTTTTTGGAAATTATTTTTTTTTCCTTTTCCTTCCTTTTTTGCACATTTAGCTCCGTATCTCCGAAATTGCTGGACCTGTCTTTATCAAAAACCAAACACCACTTCTCCACATCATTAAGAATTGAATGTTTTTTGGATCATTCATATCAAATGCTCCCTTCTTTTAAAAACTCGATTTCTATTTTCTGCACTCTTTGCTCTGCATCTCCGTAACGGCTGGACCTGCCTTTGCCAAAAACTAATCAGGATATCTCCCTATCAATAGGAATCGAATGTTTTTTTAACCTTTCAAATCGGTTGATATGTGCGTCTGAAAACGTGGATGAAAAATTGTATCCATACATATGTACATACATCCACACACACACACATCCATTTTTTTTAAGGTATGCCAAAATATTCAGAAACCTTCAAAACGTGAAGATATGCAAACATTTTCAATTTCGATTTTGGATGATTGCAGTAACTTACCCTAGGGGAAGTTACCTATTGTTGCATGGCATTGTGGCTTAAAGCAAATTGCTTGAATTTACCGTACTGTAATGAAATGTTCAAGGAATATTTAATGCTTTCAAATAGATTATTATAAATATTATAGCTTTCATTTTCGTATATTATGCTTTTTTTAAATTAGAAAAAAAATTGCCTTCCCCAAAAACTGAGAATTTCTTCACACTATCAACACAAGGAAAATCAATTTTTTGAATTGTTCTAATTAAATGATCTGTTCTCTCAATAACTGCTGTTTTTTCACTTTACTCTGTATCTCCGAAATCCTAGAATGATTCAAATAACATTTTGCCTTTGTTGACATTGTATGGTTAAACAAGATATGGTTAATTTTTGGAGAAGGCAAAAACATTTTTTTTTAATTCAAAATTTCAAAAAAATTTTTTTTTAGTTTTCGATGCATACCAATAGGTCTTAATATTTCAAATGATAAAAATAGCAACTCTTACAATATGTTAACTATTCGTCTCAGTTAATGTATTGAAGTATAAAGATCAAAAATTCCAAACTATGTATCACGCAATCATAATTTAGACTGGCCAAAAAATCAAACATATCTTTCATAAAAGCATTCTTTTAACACTTAGAGGTACTGAAAAGTCTCCTTTTTTTTTTAACGTGGGAAACAAAAGTTACAATTGAATAATATTTTATTATTGATTATAGAAACAGAATACATTGCTGTAACACATCTATCAATAAGTCCATCAAATTATTAACTTTCCGTAGGGTAAGTTATTGTAATGGGCCGAAAATCGGAATTGAAAATTTTTACATTTATCGACGTTTTGAAGGTTTCTGAACATTTTGGCATACCTCAGAAAAAATGGATGTGTGTGTGTGTGTGTTTATGTATGTATGGATACAAATTTCCAGTCACGTTTTCGGGCGCACGGATCAACCGATTTGAATGGTTTAAAAAACATTCGATTCCTATTGATAGGGAAAAGAGCTGATTAGTTTTTGGCAAAGGCAGGTCCAGCCGTTTCGGAGATACGGAGCAAAGAGTGCAGAAAATAGAACTCGACTTTTTGAGAGAACGGAGTATCCGATTTGAATGATCTAAAAAACATTCAATTAGTAATGATTGGGAGAAGTGTTTATTAGTTTTTGGCAAAGGCAGGCCCAGCCATTTCGAAGATACGGAGCTAAATATGTAAAAAATGGCAGTTTTTGAGAGAACTAAGCGTCCGATTTAAATGATTCAAAGAACTTTCTGCTTGTCTTAACAAAATAATTGATTTTGGAAAAAAAATTTGTTTGAACTTTTTTTTTTTTTTTAATTTTTTGTATATCGAAAATAATTCAGATTTTATTTTTAATTCTGACTATAGTTCTAATATACTTTACAAATAATTTCAACTTTGCAATTCAATTTATATAATTCTTATAAATATTAGACAATTTTACAATATTTATAATAATCTATTTGAAAACATTCAGTATTCCTCGAACATTTTGTTACGGTACGGGAAGTTCCAGCAATTTGCCTTAAGGCACGATGCCATAATTGCCTGAAGACAGAATTCCACTTACAGCTAGTTTATATTTAGATATTGAAAATTTAAATATTCATTTCCATAATCTGTAATATAACATATATTTACTAAAATTGATACTAAATAGTCCATGTCAACTATTGTGATGACACCAGATAGATTAAAAAAGATGATAGATAAATAGAAGTTTGTTGATGCTGCCGAACTCTATTAAATTAGTACATTTCGCTTTATTGTCACAGGACCAGATATAATTAGATAATGGCTATATCAGACCGATTGAATTAACAATACTTAGATAAAATAATACGTTGATATAAAGTTGAGTTAATCTTACTTGTTTGAATGTTAATTTTAGACTTGCTACTTATTGTTAGATGAAGTTTGAGATATTACTGATTTACAGGTTTTTCTATATCTTTATATTATTTTCTGATTGGTCCGTTTTGTGAATTTAAGCGACATTCCATTACATTTTTTACATCATCAGTTGACCTGCAATTTGATTGAAATGAGTTCAAGGAAGAATAGTTTCTCGGAAGAAAGGATTAATATTTAAGGGTTTGCAAGGTACATGATATATTACAATGAAGGATTAGGTTTTATAATTTTTATCCTTTTACAAAAGCATTAAAATATATTTGATTGATTTAAAACAGGGTTGAGCCTTAGGCATTAACAATTATGAATTATTCAATATCCAAATGTAAATAATCCTGCAAACCCATTGAGTGAAGTGTTATATTGAGAAGGTACAATTTGAGAAACAGTATCCAAAGCATAAGAAAAATATTTATTTTATGGCACACTATATGCACTGCTGTGTCGTATCGTGAATGAAAAGTGTGGTACATTGCATCACCCATCAAGACTGTAACAGTTAACTATAAGTTGCTTTTAGTAATTAGAAATTCTATAATAAAGTTACCTCTTGATTTAAGAGCTCCAGCACAGCCACCAATTATACCTCCCAAAGCTAAACCAGTTGGACCCAACAATAATCCTCCACCAAAAACAGCGGCTCCTGTGATTAAGCCCCATTTTCCGGATTGTCTAATAGTGACTCGCATGCTTTGCAATTCGCTAATTTGAGAAACAGCTTGTAAAAGTTCGCGTTGATTAATAGGCATTTTTAAGTGCTTCTTCACAAAAACTTGCTATTGCCAAAAACTACGTAAATATTGATATTCACAAATTCATAAGATGATTTTTTTTTAAATGCGTGAGGCTGATGGCGTCAGCTCAAAATTAAAATTGAAATAATCAGTGACCAACAATTTTCCATAAAATTAAATAATCAAAAATATTGGATAACCTATAGATGTGTTGATAAAATAAATAGTGATGTCAAATTGACAACCTTTAGCATTGCTCTGAAGTGCACACTAATCGCAGCGCGGTAAATTTGAAAAAAGTCACTGTGTTTTATGATCATACTTGTGATTACTTTGAGTTTAATTGTTTTAATGTTCGATTGATATATACAACGTTTATTATCCTTTGATTTATAATTGTAGTCAATAAATAGTTTTCCTAGACAATGATAGAATATATATTAATATATCATAAATTTATGATTGTTCTCCTAAAGTAATGGAAATGGGGTTTTATACTTTTTTATGGAGTCCAGGTTATGCACATTGATTTACAGATTATATTGAGCGTAAATTTTTTTTGGATTTTATACATCCATAAAACCTATCCATATTTTTTCTATTTATAGAAATAATAAATGATTAATTATTTCATTAGAGTCCATCAATTCAATCAATTATTTAATGATCAATGAATTATTCAATTTAATAATTTGATAAAGTAATTTTTTATTTAATGTTTGAATTTTTCAACTTGGTAATTTTTGTTTTTAAAATAACTTTATGTGAATAAAATATTTTAAATTATATATCTAATTAGATATACATAAGATGTATTAATGTATAATACATAAGATGTATTAGATATATAATTTAAGATATTTTATTCACATAAAGTTATTTTAAAAAGTTGAAAAATTCAAATATTAAATAAAAAATTACTTTATCAAATTACTTTATCACATATTATATATATATATATATATATATATATATATATATATATATATATATATAAATCTTCAGTTCTAAGCAATTCAAACAAAAGCAGGATCTATAATCTACTTATAATTTTATACAAAATATTTCTTAAGCACAATTTCTTGCATTAAAACAATTATGCAAATGAGAAACATACTTTACAAATTTAACATAAAAACATTAGTAAACTTTTAAAATATTTACTACTTTACACTCAACTTTTATCTTAGTAAACAATAAGTTTTTACTGAAACATCATCCAAAGTTTGCATAGAGCATTATTGTTGCTTTGCTGTTGAAATAGTTGAGCAAGCGAATTATAATAGTATTGTATTGCTTGAATAAATAATAAGGGGTATTACAGCCCTAAGGCAGATCCGTGAGCTGAGTTAAACTCCAACTTGATTAGATTTTGTTTGAATAACCAGGTTAAATTGTAATTATAGTTCATATCTTTTATATAAGCATTTCTAAATGCTGCTAATATATAACCACCAGACATTAAAAAATTATATAATTATGTTATAAAATATGTAATGTTTCAAGGGTGGAATAATCCTCTTACATTTTAATATATGGGATAAATCACGTTATGTAGTTTTAAACATATTTGTTTCTTTATTTTAAAAAAATAATTAATCTACCATAATTTGACATTTTTATGATATGATAAAAATACACTAACAATAAGATAATTACATATCACAGGAGTTATAATGCTTAATTTAAAGATTTGTGTTAAATTTCAAAGTGCATATTTATTTATTATTCATATAAAAGTTTCTATAACAATTTAACAACATCAATAAAATAAATAATTGAAAACAACATATATAAATAATTTCAAGAATTATGTAACATCTTATTATAATGAACACATCAAATGCATATTACTGCAGCTCAATCTTGTTGCCACTGAAAAATAGAAAAAAAAGATAAAATATTACTATAATCGATAAGGCAAAAAATTCTATACTAACTCGTAAAAGATCTCCACCGCCTCCTTGTCTATCTATTTCGTTCTGACGTCTTTCTAACTCGGCTGCTTTCTGCTGTTGCCTCCGAACTTTATCAATATCTTTTATTCCACGAGATTCATTCTCTATTCGTCTTTTCTCTGCAGCCTCTGCCATTTGGGCCCTTCGGATAGCCTTTGAGTAATATGAACTGTTAATATTTCATGAACATGGTAACAAAAATTTAATTAGAGTAAATATTTATTTTTTTAAATAGCCCCCAGAATAGTTCTAAGAGAAATAAAAATACAATCATGATACATATAATACAACATAGTATAATATAATTTCCTCCCAACCAATTTTATAACATTATTGACAAACAAAATGATATATGATGCACTATATAATTATATACAATCAAATAAAATAAAAGTGTAAACATATTATATATTATAAAATGTATATGAATGATATACGTGTATCAAAAGTCAACATATTAACATTCAAATAAAAGAATAAAAAATGAGCAGATAGAAATTATTTGATTTAGTTAAGTATTGTGAATATTGATATCTTTATTAATTGAGTTAAATTTAGAGAACATCAATACAATAGACAAATTTAGGGAATAAGTTTTAGAAATATGATTATTGAACAATATGTGTTTATAAAAATAATCTAAGAACGTTAAAGGAATGTTGTTTAAGAATTTGAAGACAGTCTATAGTGTTATTACAAAGTTTATATAAGAACAAAATATTATAGATAAAAGGACTTGTGGCAAAAGATGATATGCTGAATTTATTAAGCAATGTTTTGTGTTCGAATGCACGTTCAGGATAAATTTAGTGCATTTTAAAATGTAGATAATTTAAAAAAATTTACGTTGAACCTTCTCTATCTCGCATCAGAGTTATTCCTATAATAAAGATATCAAATGATTGATCCATACTCAAACTTAGACCGTATATTTGCATAGTACAATAGAACCTCGATTATCCGGACCTCAGTTATACGGATTCGCGATTATTCAGACTACCAACCGCGACTAATTTATATGCATGTACATACCTACAATTCGAATTTTTGCACAATTAATGCTGCAGTTCAGTATATGTATGTAATATAATCTAAAAAAAATTATATGCACATACGTAAGAAAGTTTCAATTTCTTAATAAATATTATTTTTTTTGTATTTCTTATTTTTAATAAATACTCAACATTATTCTTCATACATTGGATTATCCGGATGCCTATCGACAACATTTAGTCCGGTTAATCAAGGTTCCACTGTACATACAAATTAGTAACTAATTTAAATTAAAATCTTTACAGTTCCTTAAAAACATTTCTAACAATTTATGAGCTTTATTCCAAATATTAGCCATGTGGTCTGCAAAGGACAAACTAGAGTCAAATAAAATGCCGAGGTCAGATATTTTATCATATCTATCTATGCAGGTGTTATAAATTTTATAACCTAAATGTATTGAAAATTGCTTATGTGTAAAACTAAGAATTTTGCATTTTGAGTTATTTAGATCAAGTTTGTTACATACCGGGAGTGGAAAGAGTCAAGTTGAAACTTATTGCATAATAGAGATAATATTATTTATTTTAAAACAACCTTTAATATGTATTTACAACTACTTTTAAATTCTACAAGTAGATAAACTGATCGTTTTTCATATCAAAATTAATTAATTATTATAAACTGTAAATAATGCCAGAGGCTGAGATTATTAATGCTCAATTTCAACATTAGTTCTAAACTATTGAGGTATACATATTTCATCATGTTGATTAGTGAGCAAACTAAATTATTCTGATAATTAAAGAAACTACAAATTTTTATTCCCATACCCATGATCACTATTTGTATAAAAATTATTTGTCTACAAATCTCTGGACAATTACCATATCTGGCTGAGGTATTTCATCTGAAGTAGGATTGAAACACGACGAGCACAAACCCATTATAATAAATCCATTAATAAAAGCAAAGCAATACTAAGTTTTAGAATTTTTTTTTCTAAAAATACAAACATAAATGTCATCTGTCAAAGACATAATTTTGACAGCAAGAAGATCACGTGTGCTCAAGTTAACACCATAAGAATAATAAAATTTTGGTGTCCTTTTGTTGGCATCATTGTTATAGTACAAGTATAATTTTTTATTTTTTGACGGCAGTGGTGGCCACTTTTCGATCAATTCGTATTAGACTTTTTGATAAAAAATGCTGTCTAAAGCTTCGCTTTTGGGTAAATAATTGTTTAATTTGTAATATTTTTTTATAATAATACATCTTACATAGTTATTATATTTATAGTAATGATGTGCGTGCAGTGAAAATCATGAACACTTTAGACTTTATGTAATCACTTGACAGTTTTCCTCTTTGCAAATTGTATAATAAAGACATGTGTAAAAAGATAAATAGTCCTTCCCAGAAAGTTCTAAGGATTATTTTTTATTTGGTGTATTAATTTTTGATTTCATGCATAAGATGTATATACATTTCTACTGCTTTAAATGTCCAAATTTTGGTTAAAATTTCTTCAATATTTAAATACCATGTTAGATAAGTGCACAATATTTTATTGAAATTACAATCTGTAGCAAAGGTGCTGAGGTCTTAAGTTTCCATTTCACAATTTATTACTATAGCTGTTGTATGATTTTCTCTAGCGCACAATCAAATGTACAGATATCTTTGTTATTGCATTTAATTCATAACAAATAATGAATCAAATCAATTATCATTTATCATAAGTAATGTAAAATGTATACAACTATTTTCTTGTTAATAGCCAAGGTATCCCGGCCACTGACTGTGGCAGTGCGAACAACATCCCAGGCTGCAACATGCCCTGCTCCTACAAAGGTAGAAGAAGCCGATAGTGCTGAAAGAGATTTGGTCAACTTCCCAAGGCCAACACGTTTGGAACATTCACCTAAAGTTCGCTTTGGATTCATTCCAGACTCATGGTACGTTTTAGTATAAAAAAAAAGGGTACACGTAAGGTTCACACGAGATTGAAGTAAAATTTATTTGCTACTGTACAAGATGGCATTTAAGTAAAAATAAATACATCATAACAATTTTGAATGTTTATTAGTAATATTGTAACACTCGTGATGCACACATTTATTAGTTTCAACCATTATACGCATTTATTAATGATAAATTATAAATTGTATATTTTTAATAGCATTGAAAATATGTATAATATTTAAAAACAATAATGTAATTTAAGTCATACTTCAAATATGACATGATCGGTTTGTCATTGTAATTAGCATTTAGAAATGGACCATCATTAGAAAAATGAAGTAATTGCTGATTAATAAATTCTATAATATTTGTTCAACCAGTGGATTATGTTAAACAATGCCTAAGCAAATATTGTTTTTGCAACTTTGCTCATCATGTAATTGTATTTGAAGAACTTCATGTAATTAAAATTAACATACATTCATTGACTGCTTGTATTTTTTGCACTTTTTCGCTGCCGATGTAATCTCATTCTTTGAACAGCTGTAATATCTGTCTTGCTTAAAATATATTTACCATTTTAATAACTTAAAAGATTTATAGAAACTACAAATAATATAGAAATAATTTGTAATCAATAAACTTAGGGGCAAAAATGTTTAATTTGTTTTAATATCTTAATGAACAGGGTAAAATATTCTTCTGATTCAGGCATTTTTGATTAAGTCAAGATTTGTACTATGATGTAACTTTAAAATGTTTATTTATGCTCATTTCTTTGTCCTATGTTGATATCAGTACCCATACAACGTTGATCCCGGTACGCATTCATCGACAGATCTCTATTCGCATACACGACGATTAATCACAATCGACCCGTATACAAATGATATCAACGAAAGCGAATGACGAATTATTGGCACTCGACTCGGCCGTACCGCACTTCAGTTGCATTTCTACGGGTCGCACCCTAATCGCGCCTCAAGAAGTTTTACTTCAAAAATACTATTTGCTCAGTTAAATGATGTATAAAAATAAAAATATTAATGTTCAGTTTCTTTTATTATTTTATAATCATACTCTCTTTATTAAAAGGTTTGAATTTTTCTATGAGAAGACCGGTGTTACTGGACCTTACATGTTTGGAACTGGTTTAATTACTTACTTATGTTCAAAGGAAATTTACGTTATGGAGCATGAATTCTATACTGGTATTTCATTGGGTATTATCTGTCTCTATGCCACTAAAAAGTTGGGTCCACATATTGCAAAATACTTGGACAAAGAAGTTGATGTAAGTCTGAAATATATTCATTTGGAGTTTGGCAATTGGAATGTAATATGTAAATTTAATTGTAAAATGTAAAATTTATAAATTACTGCTAAAATGAATTACATACTTTAATTTTGCTTAAGTAATTCTAATCACCAAATAAGAGCAAAGTAATATTGTTTGTGCCTATAATATAAAGTTTTTATGCATTATAAATACTGATTTTAGGCCTATGCCGATGAATGGAATTCAGGTCGTGTAGAAGAAGTTAAAAGTTACCAAGATGCCATTGAAGGAGAAAAGTTGGAACAATGGAGAGCTGAAGGTCAACTTATGTTGATGGATGCAAAACGTGAAAATGTTGCCTTGCAACTTGAAGCAGCTTACAGGGAACGCGCCATGAAAGTGTATCAGGAGGTAAGTATTCGATTATGTGCAGTATGAGGCATTTTATGCATTATACTGATGGATCCGTCTTATGAAATATTTTTTCTATGTTCAAGATCAACAATTTACTGTTTTGAATTATGATAGATATTTAAATAGTAAAACTAAACATTTCTTTGATGCAAAGAACATTATTATATTTTTAGACTTAATTCTATTATTTCTTGTAGGTTAAGAAACGATTAGATTACCAAGTTGAGAAACAGAATATTGAACAACGCATTGCTCAGAAACACATGGTTAACTGGGTTGTAGACTCAGTTTTGAAATCTTTAACACCTGATCAAGAAAAGGAAAACATCAATAAATGCATTGCTGATCTAGGAGCTTTGGCTAGCCGAGCTTAAGAAAATATTTTATGTAGAAAATATACTAGATCAACATATGTTATATAAAAACTGTTTTGCAAATTATTTTATCTTATTTTTTAGAATATGTGAAATATAATTGCAATAACTGTGAATGGAATTATCTTTTTTTACAAAATGTTTTTATTGTCAAGTGTAAAACATTAAATGAAAATTTTATTTGGAAAAGAAAATTGAATAAACAGATACATATTCCAAACTAGTACTCTATTTGTGGATTAAAATTTGGGTAATTCATAATCCTAGGCAAGATTAGCATATGATATAATTAATAATTTTTAGAGTTTTACACGAGTTGTTAGTGTGAATTTATTTCTTCCTTTCGCTATCGTTTTTTGAATTTCGCGGTAATTTTGTTATGTTGGTAGTATTACATGGGTCACGTACATTAGATAACTATGGAGCTTTTTTGGTACTAATAATGATGAAATACTTTAAAAATATATTGACAATGATATTCAAACTTTATTTTATATAATATTTTAATATAATATTTCTACTTTGTTTCGATATAATAAAATGTATTCTGACATCATTTGAAGTTGGCGCTCTTCGTCGGTATAGATTTTATGACTAACACACTTCATTCGCCGTCTTTCTTTTTCTAGCAATGAATATGATGTGACAGTTTATATTGGGTTTTGTGTAGATAGTTGAGCTATTTCGAGACTTTGAGTGTGTTATAAATGAATTTGAGTGTAAAGTGGTAAGTTAAATAAATCAATTAATGATCTATTTATGCAGCTTTTTTCATTCATGTGTTAAAATAATAGACAAAGAATTTTACCAATACTAACTAGTCTTGCAACACATACATAACCTTACAAGCCCAATCTTCAAGTACATACAAACAAGTAAAAATTGCAAATTCCTTACTTTATATATATTTTTGACGTAAATTTTGCATGTTGACTAAAAACTTCACAAAATTTATGTTGCAACTTGTACATTTACAACACTTTTCATTAAATGCTCCATATATTGTAAACCAATTAAAAATAGTAGGTTACTTAGAATTTCTTTCTTTATCATTATCAATCTTCAATATATTTCATACATATAAATTTTAAACACAAATATTTGCTATGAATGATGTAAAAATGCAGATTCTGCAGATTCATTCATGCGACACCCACCTACTTCTTTCTTTATTCTTAAGTTCTAATCAGTCTATAGAGTTACTGAATAATTTGTTACTATTATTATATTTGAAGATTGCTAATGCTTGCAATAATGTATTAATAATTTAAAAATCTATACATAAAAGTACAAGCCTGTTTTATAATTGTTCGACATAATGCATGCTAAGTCACCGACTAAACTAAATATTAGACAAAATTTGTTACTTGTACATTTACAACACTTCTCATTAAATGTTCCATATATTGTAAACCAATAAAAATAGTAGGTTACTTAAAATTTCTTTGTTTATCATTATCAATCTTCAATACATTATGTATTTATAAATTTTAGACACAAATATTTGCTGTGATTGATGTAAAAATTCAGATTCTGTAGATATCTTCATATGACACCCACCTACTGCTTTCCTTATTTTTAAGTTGTAATCAGTCTATAGAGTTACTGAATGAATTTCTTGCTATAATGATATTTAAAGATTACTAAGAAATACAACTAAAAAAAGTATAATTAAAACTACAAGCTCGTTTTATAATTGTTTGTCATAATGCATGCTTATTGTTAGAGACCGACTCAACTAAATATTTCACAAAATTTATATTGCAACTTGTACATTTACAACACTTTTCACTAAATGCTCCATATATTGTAAACCAATTAAAAATAGTAGCTTACTTAAAAGTTCTTTGTTTATCATTATCAATCTTTAATACATTTTATATGTATAAATTTTAGACACAAATATTTGCTGTGAGTTATGCAAAAATTCAGATTCTGTAGATATCTTCATGCGACACCTACCTATTGTTTTCCTGATTTTTAACTACTAATCAGCTCATTGAGTTACTGAATGAATTTTTTCCTATTATGATATTTGAAGATTGCTAATGCTTGCAGAAATATAATTAAAAAGTCTATAATTAAAACTACAAGCCCTTTTCATAATTGTTTGCCGTAATGCATACTTATACATCGACTAAACTAAATATTTCACAAAGTTTAAATTGCAACTTCTACATTTACTACACTTTTCATTGAATGCTCCATATATTGAAAACTGTATCATTTATCATTATCAATATCAATATATTTTACACATATAAATTTTAGAAATAGACATTTTGTGTGAATGATGTAAAAATGCAAATTCTGTAGATTGGCTCATGCAGCGACCATCTACTATTTTTATTTTTAACTACTAATCAGTCCATTGAGCTACTGAATAAATAATGATATTTGAAGATTACTAATGTTTGCAGTAATATAAATAAAAAAATGTACATAAAAATACAATGTTTTATAATAGTGTCCCATAATCCTGCGTAGTCAGCGACTAAACTAAATATTACACAGAAATTTATTTTACTACTTGTACATTTGCAAGACTTCTTCTTAAATGTTCCATATATTGAAAACCAATTATAAATAGTAGGTTACTTAAAATTTTCTCATTTTTTATTATCAATCTTCAATACATTTTACTCATATAATAATTATATACAGACATTTGCCATGAATCTTGCAAAAATGCAGATTCTATAAATTTATTCATGCAACACCCACCTACTGCTTTCCTTAGTTTTAAGTTCTAATCAGTCTACTGAATAAATTTCTTACCATACTGATATTTGTAGATTTGTAGATGGCTAATGCTTGCAGTAATATAATTCTTATAAAAAAAAATGAAACAAAAGTACAAGCCTTTCGTCATAATGCATGTTTAGATACAGACGAAGCTAAATATGTTGCTTGTAACAACTCATAAAAGTACAAATTTCACAAAATTTATGTTGCAACTTGTATATTATACAATACCAAATATACAATATACCTTGTATATTGTACCAATTATAAATAATAGACTACTTAAAATTTTCTCGGTTTCATTATCAATCTTTAATACATTTTACACATATAAATTTTAGACACAAATATTTGCTTGGAATATTGTAAAATGCAGATTCTGTAGATTATTTCATGCATCACCTACTTAATGTTTTCCTTATTTTTTTACTGAATAAATTTCTTACTGTAATCATATTTTGAAATTGCTAATGCTTGCAGTAATATAATTAAAAAATCTATACATAAAAGTACAATCCTGTTTTATAATTGTTTGTCATAATGCATGTTTTGGTGCTATTGTTTATTAAATAAAATTTCTGTTGTAATATACACAAGTGTTAAATTCCCACAGCGGTTTGTTTATTATTTTGATAGTTTTGTTTCATGGACTATAAAATGTTTAAAGCAATACAACATTCTATTTCAATTTATTACAATACATTTAATAATATTAAATATATTTAAAACATTCAAATATTAAATAATTTGTTACTGGATTCATAAATGTTGTAGTTTCATAAATAATGCAATTAATTTTGTATTTCTTATCGTTTTCAGATGTTTGAGAAGTTTCTGGTTATTGCAAAATGACCACCTGTAGATTTTTTACATGACTGTTATGATTTTGATTTGGTAAGTTTATATTTTACAGTATTGTATAAGCGTTATACAATTGTAGCTCTGATCTTCCAGAAGAAACGACCTTCTGCATTCATCTTGAAAACTTTAATGTATTCAATGCTTTTGTATTATTACCTTGTTTGTTAAAAATGTATTGTGCCCAAATATAAGTTTCTTTTCTTTGTAATTAAATTTTATTTTGTTATGATTGAGAATATACATGCACAAAATATACATCGAAAGTAATCATCCTGGTATCAAAGTGGATTTGAATTATTCTTTATAAAATAATTGCATTTCTTCACCTCATGAAGTGCATCTCTATCTCAAAGCATTTCTTTCCTAAATGATTCACAATATTTTAATGAAAATTGTATATTTAGTTTATTTATTTTATAAAAATGTTCATTTACTATTTCCTTGGATTATATTATATTATATAGTTATTTCTTCAACTGCTTTTTTAATTTAGTTTTGTATTGTCATTCTAATTATTTTAAGGGATGCCATTCTTTTTTGCACTGTACATTGTTTTCCATTCTTAGAACATTGAAACAAATCTTTGATGCAAAAAGCTTTATCTTGACTCTAAAAGCCTTTTTTAATTTCCAATTTTCAATTGATACTGCTAATTGTTGCTGAGAAATTGACTCATCGAACACTACCAGGAACAGCTCGGATATTTAAATCTATTCAACTTTATAATTCTTTTTAGTTGTTTATTTCATAATAAACCAAATATACAAATACATTTTATTATTTTACATTATAATTATTTGAATATTTATTTATTACGCAATACATTTAGTTTAGTTCAAACATTCATTAAAAACTCTATTATTAAAACACATAAATGGCAGTTACATTTGTGCAATTGAGTTATTTTTGTCCATTGCAAGGAAAGTTAGTTTTATTTAACATGTAGGTTATACATAATTGATTAATTTATATATATATATATATATATATATATATATATCTTGATAGTTTTATATATATATATATATATATATATATATATATATATATATATCTAGAGCACCTTACAATTTATAAAGCAACATTTAATTATTATCTTAAACTATAGGATTTTGGATATAAGTAATTTATTTCTTATCATTTTTATAATCAATGTTTTTTTTATATATTAACACAAGTTCTTGCAATAATACGAATATACATATATTATTATTCAAATTTTAAATGGATTTTCATGTAAATACGTCGTTAGAATTGCTTAATTAAAGCTGCTTTACATTAGTTACTAAGCTAAATATATGGAAGTTGCAGTTTTATCTTATAAACATATGTCACATATCTCAAAAATATATTCGATTAGGTACTTTACATAGGCTTATTTTGGCATTTCCTTCAAATATAAAACGATAAATAAATAATTGGAAGTTACTTTTCGATGTGTGATGCATATACTTTTTTTTTGTTGAAAACAAAATTCAGTAATGTAAATCTGCAATACTCCTGAAATCCTTTTTTCATACTCATATATTATATTAACTACATATATTAATTTATATAAATTTATATAACTTTAAATTAATTATACTTTGATATATATTCTTCCTAAGAAGGCATTTTCCAATCACAGTAATTATGTGTGTGCGTTCTTATTTAATTTTAGATTCTGTATTGAATTATGTTGTTTAAAAACTTCAATCAAAAAATATTCAGAGAAATATTGAGTTCTTTTAGATCCAACTCAAACATGTTAATATTTTGTTTCCAAAAATACTTACAAAATTTATGGTCGTATTGAATATGATCCATGCTTATTCATATAAGTATTGTCATTAACTAGTTTACAAGATGCAGCATTTTTTCTTATTTTTATCCTTATAATTGGATTTAATTGGTATCTGCCTTTCTGATAATTGAAATCTTCTGACAATTCTAACTAGTTCATGGAAGGATTGGTCAACATTCATTCTCAATTTAGCGCTACATTCGATGTAAGGTATTTTTAATTGTCTTGACAAATTTTGCGCCTCTTCAACAGACACCTAGAGAAAAAAAGATACAAATTAATATATTTTTGTTTTGTGCAACCCATGTGTAAATTAATTATTTAATTAATAATAATGTAAAACATTTAGATATATTATGATAATATTTAAAATTCAAATTCTCCGGTAAATCAGACTTAACCGGCCAATTTCCCGGTAAAATCCGGAAACGATCTGGATTAACTTCCCGAAGAAGCAGTTTATGTTTTCATAAAAAAATCGCTAATTTTATATTTTATCGACGTTTCAAGCCATTCTGAATCGAATGAGACTAAATTTGGAAAAAGTACACGTGTGTTTGTGTGTGTGAACAGATTTTTTGGCATAAATCGACGTTTTCTCAAAAAACGGGTGGACCGATTTCAAAAACTTAAAAGCCATTCGATGTATCTCGGTATGGACTATCGTTTCTCAGTTTTGTGCAGCGATCGGCTAAACCGTTTCTTTGTAATTTGGAAAAAAGTGTTAAAATTTTCGTCCACATTTAAGCTCATACTACCGAATCGATTTAAAAAAATCAAAAACTGTTCGAAAGATATTAGTTGGGAATAATACTGATTCGTTTTAGGTGAAAATCTACCGAGCCGTTTTCTTGTAATTAACTGTTAAAAAAAATTTAAGCCGATTCTCATGAAACTTTTTTGGCGATATATATCATGGTCTTATAGAACTTACTGCAATAAAATGACCTTACGACAAGTAGTTTAATTTTAAAAATTCATCAAAGTTTGAGAAAATGAGTAGTTTTTTTGACGTTTGCTAAAATTAAAATTAGACGATTTACTTGGTATAGCAATAGAGTACCTGGTCTTAATGAACATACTAAACCACTTAACCCCTGGTTCAATTATAAAAATCATTGATTTTAAAAAATTTGCTTTCAGAAAATACTCCGGCGGGGTTAACGTGTTCAATAATGTGTAATAAATCCACTTACTTTTAACTACTCATAAATTAATTTATTTATCATGGATTAAATGGATTGTTTACACATATCGGGAAGTTCATGTAACTTTCCTTAAGGCAAACTACCAATACCAACTAATTTTTAATGATATTTATGCTGGTATACCAAGAACTTTTAAATATAGTGAAAAATATATTAGTATATTATCCGGCTTATATATGTCAAAATGACAATTTTAAAACAACAGCATTTCAAACTGTCACTACAAAACGAAATTTAAACCGCTTTTAAGTCATTTGAAATAGTCATCGACCTTTATGACAAGGTAAAAAATAATACTATCCTATTTATGGAGGTAGATTTCTGTACCAAACCATCAATACAATATAATTTACAATATTCGACTGATACAATTTAATTATCAGACTGTTTATTAATATTCATTAATTTGGAAACTGTACGACCCTTTGTAATAAACTGTTTCCAACCTGATGGATCCCGTCCCACAGGTTGGAAACCACGGTATTAATGCATTTGCTCTCCTAGCAGTTTAAATTAAATATTATCCCATGCTGCGACCTCATATTGTAAAATTATTTGTACCTTTGTTCAATAATATTATTTGTTTAAAAGTCAAAGTTTTATATATTAGAAGGAATGAGTGATAATTTGAATTCCTGACGTGTAACGATTAGTTCGAATTATATGCTGGTTACTTTGTTAAATTGAGATCAATGATGTGTTTCGATCAACAAATGTTACTCATTTGGTATTATACTATTGTATGAATCTTATAACGATTTAAACGATCCGTGATTAATTAGATTTAAAATTATTTCAGATTAAAAGTATAACGAATCAATAATATTCTACATTGTTTTCCTTATTACCTTATCTGTTCAAATTTACACTAGTCTGGTGTCAAAATAACTCATATTACTCTAATAGACATTTTATGCTTAACCCTTTCGCTACGAGCGTCGTCTATAGACGACATCCACACCTGTGTATATGGAGATCGTCTATAGAAGGCATGTTGTGTATTGATTTTCGCTTCAAGAAATTTTACTATGAGTTAAACTTTTGAGAATTTTAATTTTTTATTATAATGTTCAGTTATTAAAAGTGTAATTTTTCATTTTTAAATGCAGCTTCATTGATAATGATTGAAATTTTTAAATATTATATATTGATTTGCTCGATCCGTTCAGTAGCGCTACTAACCCAGTCATAACAGTAAACTACCTTGGAATTAGAGATACTCAGTTGTAAGTCAGTAAATACTTGTATATTGACACACTAAAGTTGTCTCAAAACCTACATATGGTATTGACACCCTACCATATGTAGGTTTTGAGACAACTTTGGGATGTCAATATACAAGTATTTACATACTTTCAGCTAGGTATCTCGAATTCCGAGATTCTTACCTAATTTAAGCTTAAATGACTGGACTATACTGAGCAACTCGCCGTTCCGTACAGCAGCGTCTCTCACACTCGTCGCTAAAAGGGTTAAGACCAGCGTATTTATTCATTATTTATTCTCTTTCATGAGATGAAAATAAAATATTTTGAATAAAAACAAAGCATTTATAATATCTCTTGATATCGAGGGAAAAATATAAACATTTGCAATCGCTTGGTATTTACCACGATTAAATTAACCTCTATAAAATTAGTCAGTGATGACTCAAAATTGCTCTTTGGTCTTTCATTAGCGCCATTAATGATTTACGCCCCTGCAATTTTTTTTATAACGTACAGACGGTACAACGATTGTTAAAAATGATCAATTATTATGATATATAGTTCTTGTCACCTTTATATCTATAGAAAATTCAATGCTTTTGTTTTTTCCATATAGGTTCTTCAAAAATACGCTGGGTCGACTTGACTTACCACGCGAGACGTCTCGAGATCTGCTTTGTTGCCGACCATCAGCATTGGAAATTCGTCTCTGTCTTTGACACGTAAGATTTGTCTGTGAAATTTGTACATCTCGTCGAAACTAGCCCTATCCGTCACTGCGTACACGAGCAAAAATCCTTCACCACTTCTCATGTATTGCTCTCTCATTGCACTGAATTCTTCTTGACCGGCAGTATCCAGGACTTAAATAGAAAAAAAATATCTTAAAGCTACATATAATTTTGTTATACAAAATAGCGATTTTATAAAAAATACCTAAGAGGTTAGAAGATTAAAGTTTTATTAAATTATCCTAAAAATATATTTTTCAATAAAAGCAAGAAATAAGTTTATAGTTCTGTTGGTTACTGCATTACTATCATTAAGGTGCGAAGCCAAGATAATTGATCTACGTAAAATGTTGCAGACAATGACTGAAAATATCATACTGAATTCTATATGAACTTCTAGAAGTATTACACAGTTATATATGTTACATTACTCTAAAAGGAAAGTGTCATATTTTTTCATTCTCTTGTCTATCACAGGGATGAAATATTGAAGAAAGTTCGGCCTTCAACAATCGATAGTTGGGCAATAATTTTTTTATCCACTGTCAGTAAATTGCAAAACTGGGTATACTAAGGAAGAGTTTGCGCTTCAGCAGCGCAAGGAGGGGTGGAGGAGGTGCAGACGGAGCGGACGACGGCAAAATGTCGGAAGATAGCGATGACCAACGGGCTTTAGGCAGGTCTAGGAAGCGCCGTAGGGATGTGCTAGATTTTGAGAGTGACTCGTCCGATTACGCGCGTCGAAACAGCGATCGTATTTCTCGCAGAGTTCAACAACATTCGCGTGTAAATGGAGCAGTTAGAAAGAATCTGCGACCTAGAACTAATACCAATTATCGCGATATTATTTCGCCGAAAATTGGCCAATTAAGACGATATTCTTCAAGAGCAGTAGAAGATGAAGAAGTGGATGACGACGAGGACGACGATGATGATGATGATGTTGAAGTAGTAGTAAATTATAGAAATTCTCGTTACGAGCGCCGATCGAGACATTATAATAATGATGTCCGTCAACAACGAAATAGCACAAGAAGATCGGAACAAGAACAGAATGATGCAAATAATAGTGGTGGAATTCGAACTAGGTCTAGAAGTTCACCTAATAAATCTTCACAAAAAGACGAAACTTCACAAAATAAAAAAGCGTCATCTATGGATATACTTGATCAATCGAACCCCCGTGCTTCTTATAATAATAATGCTGATACTAGATCTCAATTTCCCAATGGAACTTCCACACCCGAACCAGGCCGTAAAGATTCTCCCCAATTGGAGGACGAGATGGAAGATGAAGAAGGTGAGAGACAGAGTTCAAGCGACGATGTTAGAGGTGGCAGGATATATGAATTACGTCAAAGAAAACCTTTGCGCAGCTATCGTTCGCACAGAGATTACAATAAATACGACATTTGGTCAAATGCAGAACCCGAGCCGAAACGCCGTAGAAGATGTTTGAGAGCAACCCGACAACGCATTCGAGATCTCAGTGACGACGATGACGATGAAGAAGATGATAGAGCTCAAACTCCCTATATACGCCCTCCGGTTGCTTGCTCCAGCCCAGCAAAACATAAAGATAAACTAAAACCGGCGAATGATATGGATACCTCGCATATTAAATTATCTGATATTCAGCCCCTCAGCATTGGTGATGATGGCTTCCGCTTTGAACAAGTTGGTGGCTTGGATTCTCATGTGCGTTGCTTACGAGAGATGGTCATTTTGCCAATGTTGTATCCAGAAGTATTTGCGCAATTTGGCACAAAGCCGCCTAAAGGCGTTCTATTTCACGGTCCACCGGGAACTGGTAAAACTTTACTAGCTAGAGCGCTAGCAGGTGAATGTTCTGCTAACACAGGACAAAAAGTGTCCTTCTTTTTACGCAAAGGCGGTGATTTACTAAATAAATGGTTTGGAGAGAGCGAAAAACATCTGAGATTGTTATTCGAACAAGCGCAGCTCATGAGACCATCTATTATATTTTTCGACGAAATTGACGGATTTTGTCCCGCGCGTACATCGAAACAAGATCAAGTATATTCAAGTATTGTTTCAACATTACTAACCCTGATGGATGGATTAGAAGCAAGAGGCGATGTCATAATTATCGGAGCTACAAATCGTATAGAATCATTGGATCCAGCACTAAGAAGACCCGGCAGATTTGATAGAGAGCTATTCTTTCCCCTACCTGCAAGATCGCAGCGTGAGGCTATTTTGAAGATTCATGTATCCAAATGGAAAAATGGGGCACCCGGTGATGATATGATATCTCAGCTCTCAGACCTAACAGATGGATACTGCGGCGCTGATCTTGAAGCGCTGTGTTCCGAAGCTATGCTTCAAAGCCTGCGAAGAACTTATCCGCAAATTTACGAGTCAAAATTCAAATTAGCCATAGACACCGAGAAAGTTAAAGTCGAACATGTCGATTTCCTCAGAGCTCAAGCTCAAATAATACCAGCAGGGTCTCGAAAGGGAAATAAATATGGACGACGTTTACCGCGATTTTTATTACCTCTCCTGGATGCAGCTTTGAAAGACGCCGTAGAGAGGTTGGGCAAAGTGTTTCCGTATATGGATCCTGATACTTCAAAACAAGTTCAGGTTCTGAGACAGGATCATGCTTTATTCCATTCGCGTTTGCTGATTCTTGGACAGTCGGAAGGTTGCGGCCAATCTTATTTGGCTCCTGCGTTATTGCATCACATGGAACATTTGAGCGTTTACAATTTAGATGTCAGCTCAATACATGGTACTGATGATTTGTCATTATCTCAAGAGCAAACTGTGTCGCACATCCTAGATGAATGCATGCGTAGAGCGCCTAGTATTCTTTACTTGCCTTCTTTAGACTTACTGTGGGAACATGCTTCCGATGCCACCAAGGCCATACTTGCAGAAAAAATTCAAATAATAACTAAATGTTCACCTGTTCTTGTATTAGCAACTGCTAATATGATGCTTGAGGAATTAGATGATCGCATACAAACATTATTTCCTGCTCATTTACGTTGTGTTCTACCAATGACTAATCATCCAATGAGACAGTCTCGAGAAGAATTCTTCAAACCTCTGTTTGTTAATTTGGCACTGAAACCTCCTCAAGTGAAGCCAAAAACAAGAAAAGTAGAGGTTTTACCCAGAGCACCCACACCTCCTGCTAGAATTTATACACCAGAAGAATTAGCAAAATTTGAATCTCAAGAAGAAGAGAAATTAGTTGAGTTACGTGTATTTTTGAGAGAGATTGCCCATCATTTAAGTAAACAGCGCACTTTTCGGATGTTTGCAAAACCAGTAGACTTAGATGAGGTTAAAGATTACTTAGATGTTATTAAGCAACCTATGGATTTAGAAACAATGATAGCAAAAATAGATTTAAATCGATATACAACTGCCAAAGAATTTCTCCAAGACATCGATCTAATCTGTGCAAATGCTTTAGAATACAACCCCAATAAGACCAGTGCTGATAAAAAGATAAGACATTGTGCTGTTGCTTTAAAAGACTACGCATATGCTAAAATAAAAGGAGAAATGGATACAGACTTTGAAGATGAATGTCAAGAAATTGCTAAGCGCAGAATGATCCGAAATCAAATTCAAGAAGCAGGAGCAAGAGAGGCTGAAGCCAAAGTGGTAGTAACAGATGCTAACAACAAAACCAATGCTTCAAATGCAAATACTAGTAAACAATCAAATAATAGCAGTATATCTATGGAAATTGTTGATGACTTTTTAGATGTATCTGATCTTTTGGCGGAGGTTAAAGCAACGGACTCTCAAAAAGTAATAATTGATCGAGGACATTTAGACAAACTTTACACTAAGTGTTTGAATATAACAAAACATTCGGATGTTCAAGCCTTAGCAGAAGTTTACACTCAATTGCTGAAGACTATATTAGGTTACTTGAAGCAAGCCGACAGGCAAAATCTTCTCAAAGATTTAAGTACTGAACTAGAATTTTTTGAAAAACATTTGGACAAACATCAGAATGCGTGATGGTAGATTTATAAAATTGTGATTGTGTGTTTATTTATATTTGAGATACAAATGTTTAATGTCCAAAGATGATTATATGTAAAAAAAGTGTATTGTGATTTGTGTAGTAAATATGAGTCACAAGGAATAATCAATATTAAAATTCACTTGTACCTTTTGAGCGAAAAATAAATAAGCCATTGTGATCAAATTGCTTGCTTAAAAGCTTGTAACAGAAAATACTTAATGTTGAAATTAAGTTGGATAAATATTTTGCAAGATCAGCTGTAAGAAACTACGAAAAATTTCAAAATAAAGTTGAAGTTGCTGTTGTGCTCCAATATTACATACTGAATTTAGCTTTTAGTAGTATTTATATTTATTATGTAACTTTTTTATCTACATTAAATTTTTTAGGTATTGAGGCTTTTTGTGTTCATTTTAATGAATCATATTTGTTTTATAATATTAGTAATGTCTCAGCTAAATCAATTTTATACGATATATTTAAAATAGAGATAACTTGGAGAACACGATTAAAATGTTTTTTGTACACGATTAAGTTTTACTATATTATTAAGTTACCTATGTCTTAAATCTAATATAATTTGTATATAATTATTTTTTTATTAATAAAAAGTAATCTTTATATAATAATAAATCCTGTTTCACTTACTGTCCAATTTAGCTGGGATGTCGTCTATGACACATTGCTTTGTGTATGAATCTTCAATGGTGGGATCATAATCTGTCACAAAATAACTCTGCAATTAAATTAAATTAAATTAATACATTATTAAATCACTTTCATGGGATTTAAAATACTAAACTATAAAGTAAAAACATAGACAAAACCAATTCACTTAAAACAATTTTAATCATGTTACAAATATAGTAATATTTAAGATCTTCTGATTCTGATGAAATAAAAATAAGAACGAATCGGTAAATGTTGTATTATTGAGATTGTGATTGTGGCATTGATGTTTAAGTTACAACGCAATGTGTTTTGAATGTAATTTCAGGTGTCTAAAATAAGATTGATTTTCAATATTTAGTTAATCATAAAATATAAAATTTTATATGTTAGAGTATCCTAGAACTCAACGTCAAGCGACAAAATAGAAAACACAAAAGAATATTACGTTGTTTAGAAATTATTAGCTTTTAAGGGCAACCAAAGCTTTGGTGAAGTTGTGACAATTTTTCGAATAACATTTAATGAATAACATTGTCCAAAACCACTGTCCAAAATAATCGACCCACAATTGACCTAATATTTAAAGAATTACTTCTTTGTTGAACTTGAATTTAAAATTTTTAAGATCGGTCGATTTCGACAGGCATTTCTTAAAAAAATGTATCAAAGTGTGTTGGCAAATTTCATCAAAAGCTTGGCGCTTTTAATCAGGTTTTTAAAATGATATATACTTGATAATTTTATAATGAAAAAATCAATGTGCGAGAGCGAAATATTTGAACTAAATGTAAGCAAAATACGTTAACCTTTACTTGTTATTTTCAGGTTTTCATTTAACTCAAAATTTTTCATTGTGAACCTCTCAAGTATTTTACCATTTTACTATAAAGTATTTTAACTTATTAAATGCGCCAACTTTTGATGAAACTTGCTATCACACTTTAGTACATTTTCTTTAAAGGAGGGCTTCTCAAAGTAGACAATTAAATTCATAGTTTAACAAAAGTCTTAATTCTTGAAAACTTGGAGCAATTGTGTCATTATTTTTCACTATAAGCATAGAAATGCTTTTTATGGTGACGATTCTAAAATTTAAATGAACAAAAGCAATAACAAATTCCTGCAAACAAAATTGCTGGAACTTCCCGCACCAAACATTTGAGTTTTTAAAAATAATCATTTTCTTTAGAACTGTGGAAAGAAATAATTTTTTTAGATTTTTAATATTTTTGAAAATAATTGACCTTTTTAAAAAAATCGATTTTTTAATACTTTGAAAATTTTGGAAGTGATCGCGATACGTTAGCTGCGTAGAAACGAAATATCGAAGCGCGTGGGCGCCGCAGTATAACAGATAAACATTGGTACGGAACCCATATAATGAACAAATTTTGTTATTACTATAAAATATGTGTTAATTTGATGTGCATATGTCTAATCATAATTTTGTCCGTCAAATCGCATTTTTTATTGGATCTCCAAAACCAGACCTGCATACCCAAACATTTCATCAGTTCTTCATTTGGTCAGTACGAATAAAATGTTTTTTTGAAATATACAAATCTCTCCGTTCTCTCAAAAAATCAATTACCATTTTTGGTACTTTTCGCCTCGTATCTTCGAAATGGCTCGACCTGCCTTTACCACAAAATAATCAGCACGTCTCATTATTAATACGAATCGAAAGTTTCCGAAATCGTCGACGAAAATTTGTATCCGCCACACAACACACACACACTAACATTCACAACTTCACACACACTACATCCATATTTTCTAAGGTATGCCAAAATGTTCAGAAACCTTTGAAACGTAAAGATATATAAAAATTTTATTTTCTATTTTTTGCGATTACTTTATCTTACCCTACGGGAGGTAAAAATTAACCATATTAACCGTTTATCACCAAAGCTTTAGGTTGCACTTAACAACTCATAATTTTCAAACAATGTGGAATGTGTCAATTCTATCACTTTGTTTCGACTTGACGTTGAGTTTTTGGGATACCCCGTAAAAATAGAAGTAAAAAGCATAGAAGTCATTGTGACATTATTTATTATCGGTACTGTAATTTAAATATATTTTTTTTGTTTTGAGCGAGAGGAATCAGAATAAAATTAAGAAGCAAATGTCTTTGCTCCTGATCAGTAAAAATATTATATATTAATAATTATGGAAGTCATTAATGAAAATTAAATACAGCAAACCATTATCGCCAGTTTGGTTAAAACCAGCAGTTAAAGAAAAATGTTGATTTTTCATAAAGAATAAAGTTGACTTATAAAATCTCACTAATCAGAGACCTCAAAGGATCAAAAAATATGATTTTTTAAACCAATGTCATTCATGGAAGATGAATTACATTATAATGCTGTGCATAACTTTTAAACATTCTATAAAACGTTGATTTTAGATTCTACTCGCTTCATACAAAAAAAGCTAAATGTACATTTGGGAAAGACTACATTAATAAAATTAAAACAAGGGTCAATTTATTACCTCTTTGATCAAGCACGTGGAAAA